AGAAAGTACATACTTATGGTAAAAATTTCAAACTATACAAAAAGGTGTTAAAGTGAAAATGAATGCCATCCCTGGTCACAGCTTGATGTGCTGTTCTTCTTCACTTTCTAGCTCAATGTACAATTTCTTTTCTTTACTGTTTAATATCCCGTAATTTGTCAACAATTCCCTTCCTGGTGGACAGCAGGCTATGTCCTGTTTTGTTGCTACAACAACAATACAGTAAACCTTCTTGCATGTATAAACTTATGGACTAGTGATTTTACTCCTGTAAGATAGGGTCAAGGGATAGCTGTATTTTTATTTAAATGAAAAAACAGGCAATCTTCCAACAAAATTAAAACCATTCAGATTCCCGCCAATGTTGTGATGACTTTTTGAAATCTTATAACTTCAGGTATTTCAATAATAGGTACTTAGATAATGAGGATCTGTTTCTGGATTTTCTGTTCTGTTCTGTATATCCATTTTTCCATTCTTGAGCCAATATCATATTGTTCTACTTGCAATAGTTTGTTTTTGTAATCTCAGATGTTTATTTTGAACTTCAAAATTATTTTAAGAAGTAACAAAAGAAGTTTTTCATTGAGACTGTGATTGCACTTGCATTGATTTATATGTTAATTTGGTAAAAATGTTTACTAATGATATTAAGATTTTCTCTCCAGAATTGTAACGTGTATTTCCATTAATTTAGTTCTTGGTTTGTATCCTTCGATAAAATTTATAGTTTTCATCATTTGTCTTGTTCCTTTGTTGTTAAATATAGTTTCTTTGTGTGTGTTTCTAATACTTTATCACTATCGAGAATAGTTTTTAATCACTGTTTTTTCCCAATATTAACTGGTTTTACTCTGAGAACAGATTAGGCTGTAGTTTTCTAGTAGACCTTTCTCTCTGAAGCCCATTGATTGACCTTTTTGTGACAGTGCCCTGCAAACACTAAGTTTAGTGAAGATTGTTGAATGTTGAGTGCATGAACTTGGCAAACTGGCAAATTATACTTAAGGAATGCCATGACAAGTAATTCAAAGGCAAAAGGAAGAGAACTAATATTTACTGAGCTTCTTCTCTGGGTCAAGCCAGAGATGATTTATACTATTTCAATCATTTAAAAAGTATAAGTCAGACTTGGAGGTAGATACTAAATAACCAGTTTATTGATGTGATTTTTTTTTCTTTCAACCAATATTTCAGCCATAGGGTGACCCAGATATGATATATTACAAATCAGATATAACAATTTTTGAAAATTATACATTTTTTTTCACACCATTGAGGCAGAAAGGAGCCTATTTGCCTCCTCCTCAGTCATATCAAGATCTTTCTGGAAGACACTCATGTGAGTTATGTTGGATGAGTGTTATAGGATTCTGTGCAGAATCCTGTCACTGACCTTTGTAAAACAATTGTATTATTTTGATGTGTATCTCAATTTCCTCATCAGTAAAATGAAAAGATTGGACTAAATATCTGAGTTAAGACTTTACTCTAGGGGAAGGTGTATGTCTTAGTGGCTTTGAAATTGAACAGAGTTCAAATCTAATTCCTTAGAAAAGAGAGTCCATAAATAGAATCAAATATAAATAAATCAAAAATTATTTATAGCATGAGATAAAGAGAGTATTTTGCGCCAGTAGATAAGAGATTAAATAGTCATCTGGAAAAAGTAAAGTCAGGTTCCTACCTCAATTTTTATATCAAATAAATTGCAAGTTGATGAAAAATTTATGTGTAATAAGGACATTATTTGTTTATAATGGCAAAATGATTGGGAACAACCTCAATGTTCCTCTAGAGGGTATTCCTTAAATAAACTATGGTTTATTTGTACAGTGGAATACTATGCAGCTACTAAAAAGAGGAGCCACTCTACATGTACAATGAATGGGAAGATCTCAAAGATATATTTCTAGTGAGAAAAACAAGGGGTAGAACAGTGTATATAAAGTGCTACCATTTATAGTTTAAGAAAAAGAAAGGGGGGGAAATATGTTTGCATGTATGTACAAGATCTCTGGAACGATACACCAAAACTGGCTATACTGGTAGAACAGTGTATATAAAGTGCTACCATTTATAGTTTAAGAAAAAGAAAGGGGGGGGGGAGGAAATATGTTTGCATGTATGTACAAGATCTCTGGAACGATACACCAAAACTGGCTATACTGATTGCTTCCAGACAAGGGTCTAGTGGCTGGAAGTGGGCGGGAAGGGAACTTCATTTTCATAACATGTTTATTTGTACCTTTTGGATAGTTTGCTAGGTGTAGATAATATTCCATTCAAAGTGATATATTAATCTGAAGATACCTGTTTTCTCACCAAAATGGAGTTCATAAAACCTGCTTCGTAGGGCTTTTATAATGGCTGGATCAGATAGAACCTAGCGTAGTAGCTGGTACAGGGTAACTGTCACACTTATCTCCCTTTCCTGCTCCTATTTGAGTTACCTAGACAACCTGGGATCAAGCGCACACTGACACAGATGGCATTCTTTCAGTTTCTCTCTTGGCATTGGAGGGTAGTGATAGTGAGAATCTGCAAAAGGGACATAGCTGATCGTCCACAAAAGAGTGGTTTCTAATACCTCACTCTTGTATCTACAGAATTCTACTACCAAAACTGATCTCACCAACCCCTGTTACCCTCGGAATTATAGCACCAACTTCACCATGGGCCATCTATTTGACAGCCTGTGCACAGTGGATGAGAGGCCAGCAAGTTATAAGCCCGATGACATCATCACTTTTGAAGGAACTGGGGACCCATCAGTGTGTAGGGAGAAGGTGGCTTCCATATTTGACTTCAAAGCTTGCCATGAACAAGAAGCTTGTTCCTTTGATAGGGTTTATCAGCCAAAGGTTAAAGGGCCATTTGTGGTAAGAGCAAAACCCACTGAAAGATTGCTTTCTTTCCCCTCTCGAATATTTACTGTCTCTCTTCTGCTGACCCGTTTGTTACCCACTTCATTATTCCCCATCCTGAAACCTCCATATTATAACCCATTCTGAGAACTAATTTCCTTCTGTACTACTTACTTACAGGCTTTTGCAGGATTCTACTACACAGCCAGTGCTTTAAATCTTTCAGGTAGCTTTTCCCTGGACACCTTCAACTCAAGCACCTGGAATTTCTGCTCACAGAATTGGAGTCAGGTCAGTATTTAAAAAGAAAGGATCAATGTCAACACAAAAAAGTATAGCAGACTATATTCCATTTGTATGCACGTGTGTATAGTCTGAATTTGGCCTTTAGGCTCTTCAACTTCCACCACATGTATAAAATGGGGGCAAAAATGGAATGTACCTCGCACATGTGTTGTGAATTAATGTTATGATCACACGCACAGTGG